AAAAAAGAAATCCTTTGACGTCTGTCCTCTTCGGTCCACATTAGGACAGGACTTCTGACACCATGTTGAGTTATTAAAACACTGTGTGAGTCCAACTGCGGGTTTAACGTGGCTTTATTGTCTCACTGCATGTCCCCATAACATGGCTTCCGTCTCCTCTCCCTAGTCACCCTGCTGACGTCATAACCAGTCGCCTGTAATCCACAACAGCATAACATAACATTACACCACAAAAGTCACAGCCATTTTTCTTCTCCATGTCTGGTTCAATTTGGTGAGAAGCGCATTTGGAGTTTGCTACATATTTTCACACAAACCTAAAATGATTGTTGCCACCTGTTGAAGATAAACATTTTCTTGGCATCAAAATGTGTCTTTAATGTTCCCAGACATCATATGTTAAATCCATGGCACATAGCAAACAAGAGAATCCCATTTATTCTCTTTGGCAGTTGGGAACACAGACATCACATACGTGGACTCCCCGTGGACTGACACTGCCAATTGCAGCTGCCGTAGTGGCCGGCCACCATCTTGGATGGGATCGATTTGCCCCCAGTGCATTTATTTCTACTGAGGAAGGTGCTTACCAAGCTAATAAAACACATTATTATGTATTTTTCACAAATTTTAACACATGGTATGGCATGATACTTCTAATATAAATACAATACAATAAAAAAAAATCTATATTACTAATTACTATTGCTAAGTGTTAATGTCTAGAGTTGTCCACTTTGCGTAAAAAATAAATAAGTTGCCCACTTTGCGTTGACTCAAGCTGGACCAGAAGTAGATGGGGGGGACTTAAACCTGATTCATGCTTCTCCATCTGCGTCAGTGCGGAGACATGCAACACCATTTTCCGTCCTTGCGGGCCTGCTGGAGAGCTCCGCAAGGACGGGCGGAGTCGAGCTCTCTTTTCTAAACATCCGTCCGCCGAGACAGACAACACAAGCTTGGTCAGGATGCCGCTGTTGTCTACACCGCTGCCATTGCGCCCTCAAAAACATAAAGAGAGCTGAGGATAATTAGCGGCAGACACGGAGCAGCTTGAAAAATACCTTGCGAAAAAACTCTAAAAATATGAACGTTTAATTCCCCCGTGACTGGAGGAGTGAAAAAATATGCAGCAAGATTTTTATTTGTGGACGGAAATGACAGGAAACGTGGGTTCAGAGGTGGCGAGCGCATGAAGAGGTGGAGGAGGATGAGAGACAAATTGGTCTACGTTAAAAAGTCTCTTATATACAAAAAACCACAATATAAACACACTATCTTGGACCGGATACATGACAGGATACCACAGAACAGCGCTACGCCCTCTGTTGTCCTGGTGGGGAATTGCTTTGCAACATTCCCCAGGAGACGGAGAAGTATGAGGGCAAAACATCTCCGTGCGTGCATGCGTGTCTCTCCCATCGACATAGAAATATATGGACAATGTCTTTCCATGGACTCCAATTAACACGTTTTTGAGGGGAAATGGGAGGTGGCCACCACCGCCATTTTGACCGTGTCACAGGTTCCGTCAAGCCCAGACAATTCCTCAAAAAGGAAGAGAGGTGGAGCTGAGGGTGGGGCTGTAAGGCTGGGATCAAATGACGACACCCGGTCGAACTAGCTACAAGCTAACCTGAAGCTAACCCTGGCTAATCCAAAGCTAAGGCGGAAGTGGGAGCTAAGCTAACCTAGATACAACCGTAGCTAACTCTGTGGAACATCAGCTACCTGAAGCTCACACGGAGTTTAAGTGGAGGGTTGCAGCGCTTTTTCATGAAAAGTACCTTTCTGTGAATAAAAAAGTATTAAATCAGTAAGTTTATATGTTTTTTTTCGTAATGAAAATATATTTTGCTTTGAGCAAGGTTTCAATATTTTTAACGTACCGTATTTTCTGGACTATAAGTCACTCCGGAGTCGCACCAGCCACAAAATGTATAATGAAGAAGAAAAAAACATATATAAGTCACATTTTGAGGGGAATTTTTATTATTTTTCTTACAAAATCTGAGACCAAGCCAGGGCTGGACTGGGACAAAAATTCAGCCCGGGCATTTTGACTGGAGACCGGCCCATCACCTGTTTTTTTTTTTTTTTTGGAAAAGTCATTAAGCCTTACTCTGTTTCTGACACACACCAACATACACTTTCATGTTGGTAATATTTATGTATCAATCTAATAAACGTAAACCTACACCATCCTTCCTATCCTGGTATTCTAAAAAGTACTTAGTAAAAAGGAAAAAAGACCACTTGATTAAAGTAACACCCCAAACAATCTCTAACACTTGGTAGAAACCTGACATTAAAAAAGAGAACTATTAATCAATAATGAATATTAATATAAAAAAGACATTTATGGAAATTTTCATAAACTGTTTTATTACCACACCAACTAGGAAATATTTTTACAATACATTTAAAAAAGAAAAGAGACAGAGAGAGGTGAGATAAAATAACTAATTGACCATTTGAGGTCTTTTTTTAGCGATCGTACTGGTGCAGTATCTAGAAAATGTGGGGAAAATGCTGACATCATATTCAGTATTTACTTCTGTAACTATTTGTTAGTATGTTAATACGAGTTGCAGTATTTATAGCTATCCTGTTAGGGTGTGTAATTGTTGGACGGAATCTTTAAAGAGCAAGTCACCCCAAATAAACTTTTTTTTTGCTGATAAACTAAATAAACGAGTGTCTAATCGTGCTGCAGACACGTGTCGTCAATAATTTGGCACTTCAGTGCATCTTAGTTCAAATTTAAATATTCTGCCTAAAACTGTCAGTGTTGTGCCGTTGTCAGGTAAAAACTCTGCACTGTATTTTAATTTAAATCTGCCACCGCTATTGGCTAAGAAGTATGCTATGATGTAAACTGGTACATTTTGATGTCACAATGCTGTCGTGAGCCTGAGTGTGTGTATTTGTTAGCGGCTCCGCCCTCTCGGTCTGCCAGGCAAAAGCATGTGTTGCATTTTTCAAACATGAAGTGGGAGTGGAGTTAGACTCTGGTAGGGGTTGACACATAATTAATAAATTATTTGTGTATGATTGTGTGCATTTAGAATATCTATATTAAAGTCTCCACAAACACTAACTTATGATTATTTGTATTTAATTCTACTGTACATTTCTGAAAATTTGTTCTGAAAAAATAATTCATTATTAATAATTAATTATGAAATATTTTGTTTACAAATGAAATTCTTACCTTCTTAACTAAATATTTAACTTTAAGTTAATATTTATCATCTAAACTAAATATTTAAGTTTTTAACTAAATACTTTGATTACAAACTAAATATTTACCTTCTTAAAAATATTTTTAGCATCCAAACGAAATATTTAACTATTTAACTAAATATTTTGTTTACAAACCAAATACGTGTCTTCTTACCAAAATATTTCACTTTTTAACTAAATATTTCGTATACATGTTTTTATAAATGTTAAATGTTTTACCAAATAGTTTGAAGTTGAAACATTTCCGCTGTGCCCTATGGTCAGTCCAGCGCTGGACCAAGCGTTTCACATTGCAAGACAAGTACCAGTAACAATAACAGAATAATATGCCGCAGCAGCGCGCCACGGTCTCCAGCAGACGATGGTGGTGTTTGAAACCCTCCCAGCGAGACAGGGGAACTCATTCATGGATCGGAGTCGGCCCGCAGCAGTGTGGTGTAGCCTACATAATTTGTTATATAAGTCGCTCCGGAGTATAAGTAGCAGGACCGGCCAGACTATGAAAAAAAGTATTATTTATAGTCCGGAAAATACGGTAGTTATTAGTATTTGAGATAAATTAGCAGGCTAAATACATTTCATATATTTCCAAAACTTAATGCTTGTTTTTATCTTGTACAGCCAATAGCCTTTATTCTGGACTCAGTATGATTCACCAAAAGTAAAGAGACATTATACAGATGAAGTAAACACAAGATAACTTACTGAAAGAAACTGAATTATAATGAGAACCAGAACAAGAGAGTCTGATAACAGTCATGTGAAAATAATAATTAAAATAATGTATAATAGAAATAAAAATATATTAGAATTAGTCTAACTCACTGTGATCCAAATAATAAATCAGCCATAGCTGATTAGCAATCATGAAATGAGGTCTGGGAGTTTTTAAGTTTCATTCTTTTATTACATTTTTTTCTTAGATCTGTTAAAAGGTCACCATGGCAGCTTGTGTGTCTTCAACATCGGCCTCTCCCTTTTGCTCCCTTTTGGAGCTGACGACTCCATCTTTGACGACACGGAGCGACGAGTTTACCGTTAACTATCTTGACTAGAAGGTGCATTTGAAAGACCAAGGCGTGGTCCATGTCGCTACCCGATCCGTACCGGAAACCCGATCGGTACCACGCATGCGCGAATGTTACGTCACTTCCTCTCTTTGCCAACTTTGCGACAGTTACCGACTGCGGGACGTTTAAACAATGAATACCTCCGAAACCAACGAAATTCATGATTTTCTCCTCAACGGAGAGCTTCCGACGATTGAACAAAAGCGCCGTAAAATAAGAAGAGTGGCGCCTAATTACAGACTTAAAGGTAAGTACGAAAATTAAAGATGATCTTTTATCATGGTCTACAGCTGCCCTTGCTGCTTGAGGGTACAGACTCTCCGTTATTGTTCTAAAGTTGCATGACGCCTGCGTTGATTCAGGAGGGTGTAACGAGTAATATCAGTGTACAGTGTATAAGTGTAGCATCGTCTGTAATATCGAAACTCTATATATAGGTCTACATCTTGGTGTGTGGTCTTATTTTAGATTTTTTTAAAAATCGTAAATACAATATATATATATATATATAGCCTATATATTTTTTTAAAGATAATTGCAATTGGAGGTAAATGTACCATATTGGTGCTGATCTCAAACTTTAATATCTGTCAGACATTTCAATTTACTTTAGTCAGCAACTCTCATCTTTTTTTTTTTTTTTCATTTTTATCTTGTTCCAGACAACAGACTCTTCTACACTGGCCCCAGTATGCAGAGCATGCGCCTGCTAGTCATGTCAGAGGAGGAGAAGAAGCCTGTTTTGATGGAGTGCCACAATAACCCTGGTACCGGGAACCACAATGGTGTCAGAGGTACCCGAAACATGGTTGTTGCTGGCTTTTACTGGCCAACATTGAACCAGGACATCAGTGAATGGGTAATGGCCTTATTTGAGTGAAGAAGCTAAATCAGGTCGTCATAATTTTTTCTAAAACATCTGTAGGCTGAATAATTGAATGTGTTTACTTGCACACTTACATTTCAACATTAGTTTCTGTCTTTTTATTTTATTATCAATTTACATCAACTGCTTTAGGGTTTCCTAGACATATTGTTTGGAATACGCCTTTCAGGTCAGATGTTGTCATCGCTGCCAGATGAATGACCCAATCAAGACCGTGGCACCAACATTACATCCCATCAAGGTACATCTTAAAGCTATTTACATTTAATTTTCAAGTTAATAAGCTTGTCTGCTGCAGGTTAGCTTTAAATTTTCACTTGATAAGTTCTGTGACCTGCAGGTAAGAGAACCTTGGGAGTTGCTGGGCATGGATTTAATTGGACCACTCCCAGAAACACGTCTAGGGAACCGATATGTCCTGACTATGACCGTTCTGGGTGATTGCAGAACCTCTTAAGTCCAAGACTGCTGCTGAGGTCTCTGCAGTCATGACGTCTAAGTTATACATGTTTGGCATGGTGAGGAAGATCATCACTGACCAAGGAAAGGAGTTTGTGAACCAGGTAAAATTTGTGAAAGTGTTAGTCGTACCTTGACATTTGAGATGATGTATTTAGACCAAGTCTGCTCATGCCACTGCAGCTCAACGACAGCATTTTCAGCATGCTGAATATTAAACATGCTGTCTCCAGTGCTTACCACCCCCAGACCAACAGGCAGGTTAGCATTTGGATATCTAACCTTGAGTAACTCATGGGAAATCAGTCATGCTTCTTTATCTATTCTGCAATACAACTCAAGGATGAGAGGACCAACCAGAACATTAAGCATGCTCTCAGAAAGTACGTGAACCAGAACCATGACGACTGGGACGTTCACCTTGCTGCTGTGGTGTACGGCATCAACACTGCAAAGCAGGTATTCCTATTTTGACATTTTGTATGACTTTTACGCTGCTTCACAGTGTAGCATCGTCTTAAGAATGTTTTTAATTTTGTTTATAAAAAAAAGAAGTTATTGACAAGTGCAAGAGAAAATGAATTAATGGAGAGATTTTGTGTGATCAGCACTCCACCCGCCACAGTGCCTATTTCCTGCTCTTCTACCGACATCCACGTCTTCCTGCTGTGATGAACACCTGTCCCATGGACGATGACTTTGAGGTTGCAGACCCAGAAGTGGACATCGACACAAGAGTTGAGGAGATGACGGTTCTGAATGAAACAGTCTGTACATTTGAAGAGGGCTGACTGACAGGGAAAGGAGACTTGTTGAGGAAAAAAGGGGAAATGTGGTTAGTGTATTCAACATTTTTACTGCTTTAGTAGCTAACTTTTCTGTATTTCTATATTTCCAGAATGAGCATTGCCATGGCGACCTGGTGAATAATAAATATGTATATTTCTCTCTCTGCTTTTCATGTAATGTTTTTGTAGGTTCTTCGCAATATTGAGAGGGCACAGGACACCCAGAGGAAGACCTTTGGAACACGGAAAAGGAAGCTAGTAAGGCAGTGTGTTGTTCAAGCAGGCGATGACGTGCTTCTGTCAGGAGAAAACAGGAATAGACCTTGAGGTATGTTTTCAGTGCAAAAGTTTGAAAGCTCATCAGGTGCATCATAATGCAATTAACAACTAGCAGGTGCATGTCAGCTCTCTTCATTTAATGAAACATGTTTCTTTTTACAGTTCTTTCCCCAGCAGTTCATGGGAAATTGCTGCGGCATCTTTATGCTGATGGTGAGAATTTTCTTGCCATTACTTGAATATAACATTTTAACATGTTAAAGATTGATTTTACTTTACAGTATGCTCTCTGCATCTGCACCTCATCTCCACCATCTTTCACAGAGGTAAGCTTTTTCAGACAGTACCACCAAAGTATCTGTGCCAGTCTCCAGTCTTCATAAACCTTACATTATATTTGTCTTCAGGAGGAAATGCCAGCAATTCGCCTGTGGTGGTGTATTCAGCTGCTGGAGAGATTCGGCATTGAGGGGTATGGCAGGCACTTTAGACAAACTGGCACCATCATATTTGCAGCTTTGGTTCAGGCAAGACATCAGGTCAAACAGATGTTTGTGAAAGTGGCTTACTGTAAACCCTGTGACCGAACATACTGAAGAAAGCAACAGTCCACAACTAGAGTCCATTCAGACTGGCGTTGTTTTCTAAAGGCATGGACAAAGATTTGCCTTCTGGACAGAAGAAGCATCCCTTCTCCTCCAGGGGACTCTCCAGCCTGTCTTCAGGGTACCAAAGGCAACCTCCTCCAAGCCTTCACCAAGTCTAATCAGACCGGTGAGAGAGGACAACAATCAAATAACTATTTGTAGGACAGAACCACACAATGTTGAGACTATTCATCACAATGCTGGTTTACATACATGGTGGTAGTCTTCATTTCAGTCTAATGCGATAATCATGTTTTCTGTTAAAGGCTGAGGCTGACAGGTGTCTTATACTGGAGGTAATCTATTGATTTTCCTGTTTCTTTCATTTGTTGATATAACTGAATTAGTAGTTATAGTCACAGGCAGCTCCTTCAGAGACATTATCCAGTAGTAGAATGAAGTAATAGTTATGAAACACTACTCAATGTAATGTGTTTTCAGTCCTCATATTTCTGAAACTTTATGGACAAATTTTGTATTTTCACTATTGTCACGTGGCATAAATTTTGCAGTTACCAGAACGTGTCCTAATGGACATATTGGAGAGTTTTGTGGGAGTTTTTGATCATTCTTCTTGGAGTACTATAGCAAAAACTTTAATGCTCTTGTGGCAAGGTGGATAAACGAGGGCCCGGGCGGGATTCGATCCCCAGACTCCCGGGTGAGAGTCATACACTCTAACCAGTCAGCCAAAGGGACTGATCAAGGATGATCAATCGGGACATTGTGACAGGACACTCACACTGTCACACTCTGTTTGAGAAAGTGAATCTGTTGGGCTTGTACCTGGTACTCAGAGTACCACACTGCCAGAAAGGGCACGCTGAAAATAAAAAGCTTTTTATTTCCATCAATATGTATCTCCTTATTCAAATAATCTGAGTTGTAACCATCCTCTCAATCCTTTTTCTGTTGTTCATGCTCTTGTAATCTGTTGTTTGTGTTCCGCATTATTACAGTAAACCTGTGGAAATTATAAAGTGGTCCTGTGTTATTTTATATGGATATAAACATGAGTGTAGTTAAATCTGTATTTAATATGTTTAACTTATGAATACCTTGAGAAACTATTTTCAAACATTAATTGTGCAACATTGTGAAAATGATCACTATGGTATTACAAAGAATTAAGTTATTTCAAGACAAAGTGGCAAACGAAGAAATCTAACACAAAAGTAGAAAGTAAACAAATTTTAGGTGATGAGCCAAATTGGCTTTTGTGCAAGAATATATTACATTTCATATTGGAAAACATTCATAGGACATGTAGTGCAAATTAAGAATATCTGCTGTATCACAGTGACACATTTTCATCTTTTAAATGAAAATATAACCTATTTTGTGGAGAAAAAACAAACATGTAATAGGTTACCTGAAGACTAATCAGCCAGTGTTTACTGACAATTTACAGTGGACATTATCAACAGAACATCAAGATAATTCAAATCAATCGTCTCCACACATACAAGCATAAACACACTAAATCAAATTTAACACGCATATAAAAACATGATTTGTAACAACGCAAATTCAGTTTACAATCGGGCTAATTCGCTCGGTCAGCAAGTGGCAGTATCCTCGTACACTGCGGAGTAAACTGCCATTGAACGGATCACAAGAAGAATAGAGCATCTGCACATGCGCGGTACGGTTCAGGTAGACCCGATCTGTACGGTCCGACGTTTTTTTTTTTTCATTTTTATCTACATTAAATTGAAATGTTTGACTATTGCAAACATTTAAATAGATACTTATTATTTTTTAACATCTTAACAGATACTCTGACCCGTAACTATCGTAAAATGCTTCGAGCGGAAGTAGACGCCTTTCGCGCATGCGTGGTACCGATCGGGTTTCCGGTACGGATCGGGTAGCGTTCGTGAGCTGTGGGTTGAAGTCGGAAGGGGCGGGGTGATGCGCAGCGTGGAGTAGCGTGGTCCATCCTGTGACCAAGCGACTGACACCCGCCGGGGGGAAAAAGTTACAGAGTTCGCGGTCAGAACACTGCCAACATGTCTGGAGATGATGAAACGCAAGAGCAGACCATCGCTGAAGACTTGGTGGTTACCAAGTATAAAATGGGAGCAGAGATTGCAAATCGTAAGAGAGATAACTAGCTTTAAACTGGCTAGTTTGGATCGGTTTGCAAGTACCCCGATCCGTCTGATGTTAGCTAGCAGCTGTGCCATGTGCCGCTGTAGTAACGGGGCTATATTAGAGCAGGGAGACGACCAATATGTGTAGCAAAGAAAACGTGAATGTTTCTAACACTTCGACAGATAATTCCGCTCTATTATCAGTATTTTGTGTAGCTGACACACATTGGCTGGCAGAGCTATATAGCTAGCTTTGTAGCTGAGCTAACCGATTAGCAACCACGAGCTAGCTGTATCTGCAGTAAAGTACTGGTTATTACTACAAAACGAGTAAGAGTCCGATTTCCACTAATCGCACCATGTGTTTTTATACAAATCTGCAAAAGATGTAAACATATTTCCACGTTATTAATAATTGGATGCCATAAAATCTTTTATAATCAGATTGATAATTTTGATTTTGATAGAGTCCAACATAATAATTTGATATTTGACCATTGTTAAACAAATTTCTGCATGTCATTAAAATTTAACCATCCTAAAGGTAATGTGATAGTTAGAGAAATGGAATGGTTAAAGGCTGTTTTAGATGTATTAGTGTGTTAAACTACGATTTGTTGTAAAAATGTTAATTTCTAGACCTACACTCACACGTTTTATGATAATCACATATAAAAGTGAACATTTGAGCTGATTTTGGTTAAAGTAATAAAGTTGAATTAACAAAAAACAACCATTAATGTAGTTGACACAATTTTAAATCCGTTTCTAAATATCCTAATCCCCTTTGACATCAAAGACACAGTGTCCTTGTGAATTTTGTGTTACTGATCTGCTTATCTTCATTTAATTCACCTAATTCCCTCTCAGCCATGTTTTTTAAAGCTGATATGCAGCTGTCAGACATTCTGTGACACAGACCCCATTAAGCATTCTCAAATATCATTTTGAAACACATTTACTGTCAGATTTGTATATATACATACATTTAAAGATAACTTGTCCTACAGAGGCTCTGAAGATTGTCGCTGCAGCAGCCACCCCTGGGACCTCTGTGCTCAGCCTCTGTGAGAAGGGAGATGCTTTCATTGCAGCAGAAACTGGAAAAATCTTCAAGAAGGAGAAAGATATGAAAAAAGGTGTTTTGCTGTTTTTATAAGTACAGATAATGTCTCAGATTCAGAGCTCCCTCATTCACTGTTGTTCTTTGTCAGGGATTGCCTTTCCTACTTGTGTGTCCGTGAACAACTGTGTCTGCCATTTCTCCCCTTTGAAAAGTGACCCAAATATCATCGTGAAGGATGGGGACCTTGTAAAAATGTAAGCTGCATTCTTATTTTTTTTTTGCCCCTTAAGCGTGTCGATACATTGTGTTGTTCTCTGTATGTGCAGTGATCTGGGCGTGCATGTCGATGGTTTCATCTCAAACGTGGCTCACAGCTTTATTGTTGGAGCCACCAAGGTGTGTTGAACTATGTGGAGAAATCCCACGTGCACATTTTGCACCATTAACAACTAATTACACTTTTAAGTGTTTAACCTGACCTGTGTGTGACCTCAGGAAAACCCGGTGACAGGCCGGAAAGCCGATGTTATCAAAGCAGCTCACCTCTGTGCAGAAGCTGCTCTGCGTCTTGTCAAACCAGGAAACCAGGTAGAGCTCCCCACAGATACGACCTTTTGATTCAGCCAATCAGATTTCTGTTCATTGTGTCTTTTCCCAACAGAACTCACAGGTCACAGATGCCTGGAACAAGATTGCCAAGTCCTTTAAGTGCTCTCCGATTGAGGGTAGGTGCTGATTTGCATTTTTTTCCTGGAATTTGGAGCACATCCGGCTGATTTTATTTCCTGTCTACAGGCATGCTGTCCCATCAACTTAAACAACATGTGATCGACGGAGAGAAAACCATCATTCAGAACCCGACGGACCAGCAGAAGTGAGTTTTGCCCAGCAGACGGCTGAGGCGTTCTGTGTGAACACCGGGTGATCTGATCAATTTGTATTTGTAGAAAGGACCACGAGAAGGCTGAGTTTGAAGTGCACGAGGTGTACGCGGTGGATGTGCTCATCAGCACTGGGGAGGGGAAGGTCAGATAGAATTTAGTAGAGTTGGGCTCTTTGTGTAGTACTTGAAAACATCACAACATTGTGAAACTTTGTTTTATTTATTTGCAATTCAGGCCAAAGATGCAGGTCAGAGGACCACCGTTTACAAACGAGACCCCAACAAGGTGTACGGCTTGAAGATGAAGACGTCTCGCACATTCTTCAGCGAGATGGAGAGACGCTTCGACACGATGCCTTTCACTCTGAGGTAATGTTTTCATGCCTCATCAGATGTTTCACCCAATTGTTTTTTTAAATAGTCTCTAATATAATGCAGATCTGCACCAGCTCCCACCTTATTTCTGTTTTGCTTTTTATCATCAGGGCGTTCGAGGACGAGGGCAAGGCCAGGCTGGGTGTGGTGGAGTGCGCCAAACACGAGCTGCTGCAGCCGTTCACGGTGCTACATGAGAAGGAGGGTGAGGGGAATGAAAACCAGCTTTGTTGGTCAAAATAACTGGAGTTGAGGTGAAAGACTTCACAGCGTACTTGTAGCTTTACAGCACCGGAGGTTGAAGCCTCGTGGGCCGGTGCTGCATGGTTTCTGGACAAATCTGATCAGACAGTCAACCAAATTATTTGGAATGGGAGGAGCGATCCATTAGTAACATTTAATTTATGCTGGGAGAGAATGACGTGTTGTAACCATGACTGCTTGATGTTTAGAAATGTAAGCAGATTATTTAATTCATAATATCCATAAATGTCTCCATGCTGCCTTCTGTTTTTGTTCAGGTGAGTTTGTGGCTCAGTTTAAGTTCACCGTGCTGCTCATGGCTAACGGACCTCTGCGGATCACCAACAGCCTCTACGAGCCAGAGCTCTACAAGTCCGAGCTCGAGGTGGAGGATCTGGATCTAAAGGTGAGACATGTCTGATAGATGAGACATCTTTCTCCGGAGCAAGTCGGTTTTGACCTGAGAGCTTTTTCTCTCAATTAAGGCGTTGCTGCAGAGCTCCACCAGCCGTAAGACTCAGAAGAAGAAGAAAAAGAAGGTGACTTTTAGATTAAGGGGACAGTTTAGTGAACCAAAACCACATTTTCCAGTGTTTTTAATCTTTTGTTTCCCATTTTCTTTACAACAGGCTTCAAAAACAGTTGAGAATGCAACAGGACAGGCGATGGAGACAGAAGCTACTGAGTAAATTGTCAGTAACTGGTAACAGAGATGTGATGATCCAAAGACCAGACATCACGATTTTTTTTGTCCCGGCTGTCTGAGGCACTCAAGGGCACAGCCGCTGTGAATTTCTCTGGAACTAACTGATGTCAGTCTGGGATGATGCTGCTCCTGAAAACTGTCACTCCACCACACACACACACACACACACACACACACACACACACACACACACACACACACACACACACACACACCAAATTAGAGAATAACCTACAGTCTTCACAAAATCATACGACCCCAGTAAATGTAAAAATCCATGACCTTCTCTTTGAGTTACTGCATTTCTACAGTGAGTTTCTTCCATGCCTTTGAAGACATTGTGGATGTTTCACTATGACACGTTGTAACACCCGTGCTTCTGAGCTAACTAATCACAGCATTTATACCACTATTATGTAGATCTGGTTCCTGTTTCCAGGAGTCTAGAGTTCTCTTCCCAGTCAACATTTTCTAAAAACTGACACTGTAAGACTTGTTTTCCTGTGGTTCACCGTGTGCTCCTATCAAGGGTTCAGCCTTCAGTCCTCTGGTGCCACTACTGAGTGTTAGCGTTTGTCTTTACATAAGAACTCCATACCAGTTAAATATATGGATGCTTTTGTAAAACTAATCCCATGTTCAGAGATTATTTTTGGAAACAATAAATAACCATGTGGCATCATTTGTGTGGTTGGTTTTTTATTTAGCAATGGTAAATGGTTGAGTTAACTTGATTTCTTTAAAAAGGCTAAAGGTCCTAACGTGGCTTCAAAAATTGTTGCATGCAAATATTTCTTGACATTTCATCTGAGTGAAAATGACTTGCTTTCCAAAGAGCTCAAATGTGGGATGTTCCTTTCACTGTTTGTATTAAATTGATGTTTGCTGCTCAATTTTTAAAAATTCAATAAATAACAGTCTCAAGAAACCAGAAGTTCATAGTTAGAATAAACTTTATTGATCCCACAATGGAGAAATTCACTTGCCACAGCAGCACACCTGACGAAAAGGAAGAAGATAAGGTTACAGGTAAACACACAAGGGCAATGAACTATTATTGTAATGTTTTTGTGTTTCCAGAACTATGCAGCCTAAAGGACACAAACTAATGTACATCCGGTATTGAACACACTGATCATTGCATTGATAGTGTACCAGGATAATGCCAGTACCAGTTAAACTGAGGAGTTATGCACTGTTATGGCAGAGGGGTGTTCTGTTTTACATCTGGGATGTCTACCACTGAAAGAGCTGCCCATGGTCTCAACATCGGAATGCAGTGGGTGGGAGAGGTGGCATTAAGAGCTAGGTTTCTGGTTCTAATGTAGCTCTATTGTCTGCTTCTCCTTAATATTAATAATGTCATTATACCATAAACAAAGTTTGAGATTTTTATTTCAGCCTCATTGGCAACAGCAGGCTAAAACGCTTTCTTCTAAATGGCTAAACTGATGGGAGGATAAAATACTCTCTTCTAATTGACTACAACCAACAGATCAAGTTTGTAGTTCATGCATTTTGCCAGCAGAGGGCGGCCATTGCCTTCTTTGTTCATGTAAACCCATGTGTAAACCATTAGCCTGGCAAGCCAGACTAAATAAATTTTAATAAACTTTGCAAAGCAAGAATTTGAGTCTAGTTCACTAGGCTAGTAAACCATAGCATTAAAGCTAAGTTTGAAGTGCTGATGTAGATCCGTCTTCTGCTCCTCTTCTTTAATATGAATAATCCCAAAATACCACAAACAAAGTTTTAGGATTCTCTATTTCAGTGGATTTTGTTTTGTTTAGCTCAGTTTATCATGATTTATCCCCTCTCCTGGGTCCAGGCCTTAAAAACTCAATGTCCCATGTTCACATGTCCACCGTGACGTAATGGTTTTTATAAATACTTTGTCGCGAGAAAATGACGTCAGATGTGAATCGATTCGATAGCTTTCGGTAAGTGCTAAATGCTCTTCTCAGAATCCAACGTAATCGTCTTTATATTCTGATGAAATAAGACCACATTTGACATAATCTTTTTGTTTTTAGCACTCCCTCCCTGAAATGAGAGCTAAGGTTGGTATTTTAATTTATTGTGGGTGAACTAGTCGAGTTATTAGTAGTGCTAACGTGCTAACTACTGCTAGCAAGCACGAATGGTTTGTAACAGCTGACTGCCACAAAGTAAAGTTTTCAAAGTACACATTTAATAAGATTGTTCGGTAGTTTTTAACATGTGTTCACAGTATTTTTTTTTATTTTTTATTTTTTGCCCTCACGTTGTCCCTCGTAGTGGAGGAAGAAGCGCATGCGCAGGTGAGTTAGGCATTTTCACCTTCGGCCCCGTTTATTATAAAGCACGGTTACAGAAAGCTATCAAGTCACATTTCAACCAAATTAATTATTTAATTTATTCAAAATGGTCTTACTCGTTTACGTGTTCAGGCTGAAGCGCAAAAGAAGAAAGATGAGGCAGAGGTCCAAGTAAGATGTCCTCTTGTGTCCCAGCTGGGACATTTGGGTTCAACGGTCCAGGCCAGCTGAGAGTATCTGGAAACCCAGGATCCTCCTGAGTAAAATCTGAAACCAGCAGCTGACCCTCATTGAACACCAGATGTTAAGCTCTTCCTCCGGGACACTCTGGATCCAGATTCCTCAACTTTTGTCATTTATTTTTGTTCATACTGTGATTAAAGGTTTTGGTTTATAAACGAACCTGCTTGTGGTCATTAAATAAGATAATTTAAGGCATTTGTTTTAGTGATGCATCGATATGAAATTTTTGGACCGATATATTAAGATCATTGTAATGGCCAATAACCAATATATGCCGATAGTTATATACAGACATTAATGCTTCTAAAATCAGCAGATTCTGTATTGAATAAAAACCATTCTAGCTGAATTTATGTTATGTACACACAACACACACTTACGCTTCTGAGATGATTACAATGACTGACATGACTAAAGTGTACATCACCCCCCTCATTCTCTTGAAACAGGCAAACAAATGGCGACAAGATGGAAAAAATATTGGTTAATAATATCGGTCCCTTTTTTTTTTACCGGACAGATACCGATATATTAAATGACAACATTGGCCAATACCTACGTTGATGCCAAAATAATGTCCGTCCCTAATTTGTTTTCAATGGACGTCTTCAAAAGAGAAATGAGTCACACGTCAAAGATTCGTGATGCACAACCTATTAAGATTCACTACAAATTACCAGAATGTTAAATACATCATGCATCAGCTGTCTGAATATAAAAATTGAAACAATACAGTTCAGTGGAAATATCTGCAACACGTGTTCAGGTACCTGCAGCAGGAGTCCGTTCTACACAGGAATCGGGACTTTGTCCTTGTAAACTATTTTACTGTTGTACTTTCTCTTTGTCCTTGTAAAATGTCTCATATTTCATGGAGTCCTCCGCTACATAAATTTTAAGTAGCTGGCGGTAGCTCATCCTTGTCACCGTTTTTATGAAGATTTATTTTTCTAAATGCTCGATAGTGCAGCAGTTAACAATGTCACCTTGGTGAGAGAGTGATGCGTTTTCTTTGATAGTTTTAGTTTGTCTTTAATTTGTGTTTTGCGCGCTAGGACAAACCGCCCAGTGGACATTTCACAGTTTGCAGCTATAATTAAGATAACGTCCATTAGAGGGCAGTACTCACACTAAACATTTAGATGCACAAATAACTAACTTGTTACTGTTGTAAAAAGTAGTCCATCTACTTTCTTACATCAGTGAAAAACGGGAAACAAAATACCAAAAGTTTTAATTTCACCAAGCATGCAACATGAGAACAAAAGCAAAGTAGAGATGAAGTTGTCTCTAACTCATGGTGCTGGTTCTGTTTTTAAAACCCCTGATTGACACGAGACCCAGTTTAGACCTTTTATGCATCCTTTCACCAACACTGACTCGTGATTTGCTTCTGCCGGAGACCAAGGGACTGTTACTTTGCAGACTCATCGTACAGTAACATTATGTAAATGTTAAAGATATCTGTCTCTTAATTCTGGGGGATTTTAGGCCCTGCTGGCTATTTTGATTCCATTGCAGACAAAAACAACTAAATTACAACAGTAAGAAAGTTGTTATTCGGATAAAGATCAAAATCAGACACAGCACGGCATAACACACATCTTTATTCAAAATGCAATGCCCAAAAGGGGCACAAAATAACATTAAATATTGTTAAAATCTAGAATGTACTACTGTTTTTATTTGTTTTGTATCACGTGACCCCCAGGGCCACTGACTGACGTGTTCCTCATGCAGACTGGGTACACAGAGGATCATCAATGCCTCCTTCACCCTTAGAGCAAACAGAAGTGGGTGTTTCCAGGCAACAGAGGGTTATTTTAAACCTGCTGTGTTTGTTTTTTGAATAAAATAAAGCTGCAAAAGAGACACGTGGAAAAAACCCACCTAAGCTTTAGGAATACTATTCTGCCATGGCCTGTAGATGTTTGGCGTAAACTTTTACGCAGCTTTTTTATGGATGAGCAAATATTGCAGCAGTGCTCTTCCACTGCTGCCTGGTTACACCGGGAGAGGATATGGGTGCAACTAAAAGGCTTTCTGTGGGGAAACCTGTTGGGGCTGCTGCAGTGGACTGGAGCGCCTGCGCGTAAAGGGGGATTTATTCCAATCAGTGGGTTTGCAAAAAGATAACGGACTAAGCTGCCTTGGTGTGTTTTATTACTAATTTATTTTTATTTTAATCGGTATGATGACATCATTTTTAGTAATATTTGACAGTGTGAAGGAGGACTTAAATGCGAGCCCGCCCTCTCAGGTTTTAGTCTCTGCTCGCCCAGCTCTCCTACAGAAGCTTCATGAAATGCGGAATCAGTGCCCTGCGGACCTGAGGCGGAGCGCCGTGCAGAAAAAAGCTGCTGAATCCCGCAACTAATCCCCCACACTCGATGGTTTCGGCGCTCTGACCACCCTGTCGCAGAAGCAGGTTGAGCTACAGTGAAATCAGACGGGTTTCTCCATGCAAGCCGCGGATCCAGAACCGGGGATGACGGGAACCGCTGCACCCAAAGCCCCGGCCTCACCGCGCCAGCCCCCAGGTGAACGCGCAGCCGGTGCGCTGTGGGCGTTTGGAAAATCCCTCGCTGCGCTTTTACCTGTCTACCTGGCAGGTTATTACGGCTTCAGCATCAGCATCGTGCTGTTCGGGCTGATGATCTACATGGGATGGAAGCACAGCCGCCTGGAGAAAGAGATGAGACTCAAGTCTTCTATGTTCCTCCTGGAAAACGAGAAGGAATACACCACTGAGAGAGCTTTCAGGAGCAAAAGGGATTTACCTCCATGGGTAAGGGGAATGCCATTGTTTTGGTTGCACCACCAGTCACATCATGCACATGCGTGAAGCTGATCTTCAGCTGTAATCCTGAAGATTTGTTAAATATGGAGCACATGCATTGAAATGAACTCATCTTCTAGGGAGATTGAGCTGTGGACCTGCTTTTGACCCTATCTGGCTTCAGACACCAGATGAGTCATAAACATCTGTCAGAGCAGAGCGGAGGCAGGGATCACCATCACCATATCAGGATAGAAAATATTGCAAGCTGTGGGTAGGAGTGTGTGTCTGACTCTTGGTGTTTTTGTGGGCCAATAATTGATTAGCAAACTGCGTAGTTAATGGTTTCCTGAAAGCAGTCAGTTAGCTTTTGCCTTATGTGTCAAACTTAAAAATGTCGTAAAACACTGCCTTATAATTTGCTTTTCTTGTGAAAAATAAAAAGACACAAAGTGTAAAGCATTATTTTATTTTGAAGACCCGTCTTCACTGACATACTGGTGCGTTGCTCATCCACAGGTCAATTTTCCAGATGTGGAAAAAGTAGAGTGGCTGAATAAGGTACGTGAAGCTTTACCACGATCAGCATTTAATCGTGTCACAATATCCACTTCACTCACTCAAACAAACAGGGGACATGGAAGCCTGGCATGTATTATTTAGATAAAGAATATGCACGTGTGGACCTTAAGCGAGCCGGCTCTCGTGGCAGCCTCTTCATCCGAGGAGATAATCTGTCGGTGTAATTAAGAGGCAGAGAGAGTGGTTCAGATCATATCACCACTACTTTGTCTCTGTCAGTGCAGTAACTTCCCATCAGCACAGTGCAGGACGAGTGTGGATGTGAATACTAATGATGGAGGGGAAACTGCAGCGTAACTCAGGATGACAATTGTACTGATCATTGCACACCTAATTCATCTAAACCGAAGCACATTAGATTCTTTGTTGATAGGTTTCTTTGTGTCACTCGGATCAGCGCTGACAGAAGCTGAATGTTCTGTCGTGCAGATCCTGCAGCAGGCTTGGCCCTTTGTCGGACAGTATCTGGAAAAGCTGCTGGTGGAAACCATCGCTCCTGCCATCCGAGCGTCCAGCATTCACCTGCAGACTCTGAACTTCACTAAGGTGAACCTGGGAGAAAAGGTATGACCCGTTAATATATAATCCATCAGTCCTGAATGAATTGAAAGCATCTGTTGTGTTCACAGGCCATGAAGTTGGTGGGTGTAAAGGCCCACACTGAGCTTGATAAGAGGCAGGTGATGCTGGATTTGTACCTGAGGTAATGCACCTTTCAAGCTGTTGAGTCATGCACAGCTGCAGTATGCTGCAGAGCTCTTCCATGCTCCTGAAATACAACACTAAGAAGTGTGTTTCTTTTTAAGAGCTGTGTGTACTTAACACACACACAGAACAGCTCATTAAAGCTGCCTCCCTTGTTTAAACATTTGTTTTTAAGTTTGTCTCTCTTCCTCCCCTTCAGCTACGCTGGCGATGTTGAGATAAATGTGGAAATCAAAAAGTATTTCTGCAAAGCAGGAGTGAAAGGAGTCCAGGTATGGTGGGAAATATTCACATGCCTTAGCTTGGTGTTTAGTCTAAAACCTCTTTTTCTGCACCGTTTTTCTTTCCGCAGCTCCATGGAAAGCTGCGTGTGATCCTGGAGCCGCTAATAGGAAATTTGCCGCTGATTGGAGCTGTCACAATGTTCTTCATTCGCAGGCCTGTGAGTGTTTACACGTCTGCCCTCCAGAAGCTCGTTTCTTACATTTATTCACTAATCTTTTCTCTTTTACACGTTTTCATGTAGAAACTGGAGATTAACTGGACTGGACTCACTAATCTGTTGGATATACCTGGTCTAAAGTGAGTTTTTAGGATTTATATCTTTGAATGTGTTCATGTCTTTGCTTTGTTAAACCATTCTTGTTATAGAGCTGTTATAATTTATTATAGTAACAGATGCACTGCTTCATTTGCAGATTTTTATGGGTGCCAGACAATCATCCTTGTAATATTTTTCAGTGCCATGTCAGACACAATGATAATGGATGCTATAGCTTCTCAACTGGTGCTTCCCAATCGTCTCACCATCCCGCTGGTGGCCGACCTGCTCGTGGCGCAGCTTCGCTCCCCTCTCCCAAGGGTAATTCCTGAAAATAAATAAAAAATAAAAAACATCCTGATGCTTTCTGAATTTTCACAACTTTTTATGCACGTTATGTCTTTAGGGAGTGGTTCGTATTCACCTGCTGGAGGCTGAGGACCTGACCGCCAAGGATACGGTCATCAAGGGCTTAATTGATGGGAAGTCAGACCCGTATGCCGTGCTGCGTGTAGGAACACAGATCTTCACCTCTCATCATGTTGATAGCAACCTGAACCCACAGTGGAGAGAGATGTATGAGGTGAGGAGCCTGGAGGGCTGGAGCACAACTAGAAAGGATACGAAGGTTTGATTTAATATTCGAATTCTGCACCGCCTTCATATCCATGTGGTTAAAGTTCTGGCTCCATATTGGCGTCCTTTCTTTGTGAAGATGCACTCAAGTCTCTGACAGTAAGCATGCTGCTGCTCCTGCAAAGATAAACAGTCCTGTGAATATTTTATCTTTGCTAACAGGAAGCGACTGTTTCTTAAATAAGCAGCCACTTGCTCAACGACACATTTGTCATTTCCTTCAGATTACAACATTTGATCCAGGAACTGAATAGAAATTAAATGAATTTTTGCACATTTGGGAAACTTTCTTGCTGTTGTGATTCTGTTTGCATGCCCTTATTTTAAAGCCATTTGTGGTTTTATCTGTATTTGTTGTGTTTCCGTTTGTGTGTGTGTGTGTGTGTGTGTGTGTGTGTGTGTGTGTGTGTGTGTGTGTGTGTGTGTGTGTGTGTGTGGCTTTTGTCCATTTACGTGTGTGTGTCAGGTGATTGTCCATGAAGTGCCTGGTCAGGAGTTGGAAGTGGAAGTGTTTGACAAAGACCCAGACCAGGATGACTTCCTGGGGAGGTAGTTCACTCATTCACATTCGTTCTCTCTTTGTTTCTCTGTGCTTCTCGTGTCATTTCCATGTTAGCTTTTTCTCACTGAGGTTTGAGTTGTTCAGTAAACTGGTTGGATTTTGTTTTAAACCCACAGCTTTATTAATGGTCTTCTCTGTGTTTGATTTTTAGGGTAAAAGTTGATCTTGATATTGTGAAGAAGGCCAGAATCGTGGATGACGTGAGTGGAAATACTTTGGAGATTTATTTCCCTTTTTTCTCGTTGACCAGAATCTTAAAAATCACCTTTGTTGTTTATTAAATTGTGTAACCATCTGAGTAATCATGTTAGCATGTGACACTGGAGACACCATGTGCCTCCTTATGATCTGATCTAATCATTGTTCCTCCAGAAACCGAGTCAACGAATCAGCAAAAAAATCCGTTCTTAATAACCTTATTTTATTTAATTTTTTGCTCACAGTGGTTTAATCTGAAGGACGTCCCATCTGGCAGCATTCACCTGCGGCTGGAGTGGCTTTCGCTGCTGTCCTCTGCTGACAGACTGAGTGAGGTGAGTTTGTTGAATGTATGTCTGTTTAAACTGAGTTTATTAGAGAAAAATTCATCCTTTTTTAAATTTTTCTGTCAGGTGATCCAAAAGAACCAAAACCTGACCACTAAGACGACCGATCCTCCATCTGCTGCCATCCTTGCTATATATCTTGACCAAGCTTATGAGCTGCCTGTAAGCACATTGCTGTGTTATTTACATGGTTTGTGTCGGGTTTTCATTGATGTGTGTAAAATGTTCTAGATGAGGAAAGGGAACAAGAACCCAAGTCCAATGGTGCAGATTTCCCTCCAGGACACGACCAAAGAGAGTAAAGTGAGTGTTGGCACATCTTAAAGGGGCAGGTCAGATAGTTAGAAGCAGAATTTTGAAGACAATCTTATGAATGATTAATTTGTCACCTGTTACATGTGAAAAGTATTTTCAATCACCTCAGAGTTTTTGTCATGACTGACATGCTAACTGCTAGTCAGTGGGATCAGTTCCAGAGTGAATTGCTGACGTCACAGAGATAGTGTCAGGACGACATCTTGAATCAGGCGAACACTATTTTGTAAATCTTCACTCTTTAAACCAGCATTGCAGTTATTCACATATAATTACTTCATCTGGTTCAAAGTGGGAACGTCAAGCCAGATTTCTGCCAAAATAATCAAGAAAAGTAAAACCCACAATCGTGTAAAGGTTTGTAAAAAGTATTTCAAAATGGCAAAAATTCACTTTGCTGAGCCTAGCTCAACGATCAAGTCAAAACCATTCAAACCCAGGTTATTCAAATAGCTACCAACATCATACCACTGGTTATTACCCTCTATAGAAACTCAATACAGCAAATTATGCTTTAAGCTGAAACCTTCTGGTCCACTCCTGCAGACGTGCTACGGGACCAACAGCCCTGTGTGGGAGGATGCTTTTACCTTCTTCATCCAGGATCCTCACAAACAAGACATCGACATTCAGGTGAACCCTCTGTCACACCCTGTCCTGTCTTCTCCTAGGTTGTAGTCTGTGTCTCTGTTAATTGCTCCCACCTGCCTCTTGTTTCCCAATCACCATAGCTCCCGCTCCTCGTGTATTTAAACCCCTGCTGTTCTGTGTTCCATGTGGTGTCATTGTTTCAATGTCCAGCGTGCGTCCTAATAAACCTGTTAAGTGGATCTTACCTGTCTGCCTGCTTCCTCCCTGGTCTGGATCCTCGCCTTTCCTCGGCTCACTTCACCGGCACGCGTGACACCCTCACTGTTCTCAGATGAACTTGCAGCAGATTTCCTCTAATTATTCACGCTCTCTACAAACAAACACCTTTTCTTTTACGGTTTTAGCTTCTAGCTGTTCCTCCTGAAGTCTTATTCTCCTTTGACGTGTTTTGACCAGGTGAAAGACGACGACCGCTCCTTTTCATTGGGCAGTCTGAAAATCCCCTTGAGCCGCCTGCTGGATTCTCCCGAACTAACGTTGGATCAGTGGTTCCAGCTGGAGAACTCTGGTTTATCCAGTCGCATCTATTTCAAAGCTGTACTTCGGGTCAGTATTATTGTGTAAAGAAAACATCAAGATAGCAAAATATAGCATTTAGAAATAGTCACAGACTTAAACAAGAGAAGTTGTAATAAATTATGACTTTCACAAGAAATTAGTAAACATTTTTAATGAATGAAGACATTTGGTTTGTTTTAGAGGGACAGTGGGAATTATATAATGTTTTGCAGTGTAAATATAACCCGTTGTAGCTAAAAGGCTAATTTCCATTGGTGGCCCAAAGGCAATAGCTGTTTTGCTTGACTTTTGCAAACAAAAACCTTTGTTTCCGGATAGATACTGTGGCTCAGTGATGACACCACTCCCACAACTCCGTCTCCTCGTCCATCATCCTCCGGATCTGGAACAGGCCAGGGAGAAATCACATCAGACCTGAACCTTATGTGGCCAGGCGGTCTCTCTAAAACTCAGCCAACGCGACCACAGAACACCACACCTGATCCAGAGTTTGCAACTGAGGTAAAAAAAAGAAAATACAGTTTACTGGAATTAGGCAGCAGCAGGCAGCTGTTTTATTTATTTTTCTGCACACAGGGAGTTTTACGAATCCACCTTGTGGAGGCCCAGAACCTGATAGCCAAGGACAACTTCATGGGAGGCATGGTGAAAGGGAAGAGTGATCCCTATGTCAAGATCCGTGTTGCTGGTATAACTTACCGCAGCCACACCATCAAAGAAAACCTCAACCCTGTCTGGAACGAGCTTTACGAGGTGTTATTGCTACAGGCGCTTGCTTATTTTTGATCATTTGTGCAAATTGTGATGGTTGAGCTTCAATTTTGTGTATTCTTGTTGTGTCCTTTCTTTTTACCATTTTACAATAATAGAAAAGGATTTAGACAGAATATTAAAGGTTTGTACTGTTAATATTTAAAGTAAATGAACAAAAGCACCTTTGTTTTGTGTGTGTTCAGGTGATTTTGACCCAGCTTCCAGGTCAGGAGATCCAGTTTGAGCTGTTTGATAAAGACATCGATCAGGATGATTTTCTTGGCAGGTATTCTTGATGTTTTTGTGATTGTGATGAAAGGGAGACATGTTGATGAAATGCAAGTGTATTTGCAGGTTCAAGCTTAACCTGAGAGACATCATCAGTGCACAATTCATCGATACGGTGTGTGAAATGAGTCTGACGCGTGTATTTTTAACCCTAACCCTAAAACATTATTATTCTCATTTCCAAACTAACACATGCATTTTTGGATGTTTTTGTTTTAGTGGTACACTCTTAATGATGTGAAATCAGGTCGGGTTCACTTGGTAATGGAGTGGCTGCCCAGAGTCTCTGACCTTGTCAGACTGGAGCAGGTTAGATCTGACCTCTCGGGTTTACTTCATTACTTTTTTCTTTAGAAATTTAAAGATTTTACTCGATCTTGATGACATAACAACCACATTACAGCCCTGAATTAACTATTCTAAAACCAAAGTGCCAGATTTTATTTAAGGAGAGATACCAATCCTGATTTTATTCCAGTGATTAAGTGCTGTAACAAATGAATTCCCCCACTATGGGATCAATAAAGTCTATTCTACTCTATTTTATTCTTTATTTGAAGGTAAATTTGGCTTTCTGTAGGATTAAAGGCCAAAACAAAGTCATGAAATATGTCTTCTTGTTAAAGACTAGTTAAATACACAACTTCTTGTTGCTTAACGTAATTTCTTCTCAAGTAATTTGGCTTTCAATGTGGAACAAAGCAACAGGAAATAACTCAGTTTTAGGAGAGTGTGACATGAAAGCATGCACTCCTTTTTTTAGCTCTAGACTAGTTTGCGTGTGATGTTATCAAAGAAACCTAGACCACAAGGGTTCTGATGCACAATGTCACACATTTCCTATTTGCTGCAGGTCCTGCAGTATCAGTCGCAGCAGTCTTACCAAAACAAGGTTGTGCCCTCAGCGGCCATGCTGTTTGTGTATGTGGAGCGTGCACACGGCCTGCCGGTGAGTCATTAGGGTTTACTTGTTGGATGTTTTTAGTGAAATTGCATCATAAAGTCAATGTCCACTGATTAGCTACTGATCGGGTTTGTTCCTGGTGTCCAATGTAGATTACATTTTAAATATATTTATTCTGTGGTTTCAGCTGAAGAAGAATGGAAAGGAGCCGAAGGCTGGAGTCGAGCTCATACTTAAAGGGGTTTCATGCAAAACCAAAGTAAGAACCAGACCTGAGCAAAAACACACAAAATCAAACTCTTTGCCTTTCTTTCACAAAATCTCCCCCGAAGGTTTACGAGCGATCCACATCTCCCCGATGGGACGAAGCTTTTCACTTTTTGGTTCGTGATCCGAGAGATGAAATACTCACGGTCAAGGTGAGAGAAAACGTCTCAGTGAGTTGAAGCTAGAAGAATTCACTCCGTTCTCACCATTTACTTAAGCAAATGAAATGTGTGTGTGTGTGTGTGTTTGGACCTAGCTCTCCCACAGCTGGGGGCAGGCTCTTGGGTCCTTGGCACTTCCCCTGAGGGAGGTGTTGTCCGAGCCGGACTTGATTCTGGATCGCTGGCTCAATCTGGATGGAGCTCTGCCAGAGAGCCAGATATTACTGAGGATTACACTCAAGGTAATTCAAATGTACAGATTATTTTTGCTTTGTAACATTATTGGCCCTCTTTTGGTGGAACTTGTCTTTTTGTATTTTTAAATAAAGCTGTAATAATGTAATGAAATACATTTTTTAAATTGATTTGAAGTTCTTGATAATAAGCTACATTTAGCTCCTTTAGCTTGCATCTTTGAGTTTGACATTTAATTCCAGCCATATTTGTGTTGCAGGTCTTGGACACTCAGTTAGCGGTGTGTCGTGGGACTCCTGTTGGGGAAGTCAGGGTAGATGAAGTTGTCCCCAGATGGGATCCTTCTCATCTGGACCTCAAACACAGAAGTGGATTCTCCATGTGAGTCAGAAGTGCTATTATCTTTTTCTTTTCACCGTTCTTCTCCTCAAATGCAGATGTTACACCTGATCCAGTTGTGATGTGTCAGAAAGCTGAAGTGGAAATAAATTGTGTCTCTAGGGCCAATGAAAACGTAAACTCCACTAGCCAGGTGAAGCTCACCATCGGCTACTCTGCAGAGGAAAACAGGCTCTTCATCACTGTTCACTCCTGCAGGTCTCTACAGGCATCACCTCGTCAGTTTCTGTCAGAGCAGTTGGTACCACCCTTCACCGTGATCTATGTTCCTCCACAGAGCTTTGGCTGCCTGCTCCAAAGACGGCGCTGACCCGTACGTTTCCTTCATCCTACTGCCTGACAAGAAGGCCACCACCAAGAGAAGAACCGCCACCAAGAAGAGGGACCTGAACCCAGAGTTTAATGAGAGGTTAGGCAGCAGATGAGACTGTTGTAATAGCAATACAAAGGAAGGATTTTCTCTCATCTTTCTGTTTGGTTACGTAGGTTTGACTTTGAGTTTTCCCTGGAGGAAGCCATGCAGAAAAGACTGGACCTGAGTGTGAAGCACAGTGTCTCCTTCATGAGCAGAGAGAAGGAGCTGATTGGAAAGGTACATCAGAGCAGCTGGGTGTCTGGAAGGACACCTGTTTGTAATTACAGGTGCAAAAGTGTGAAAACAGGAGTTCAGATTTAATTTAGCTTTAATGATGAAAAAACATTTTTTACATAATATTTCTGATTATAATCTCTGTGTTTTTCATGCAGACTGAACCTGAAAATAGTCTCCTACACCTATCTCCCGCATTAGCTTCTGATAGAAAAGCGAAAGCTCTACGTCACACTGTCACAAAGCATTCATGAACTCCTCCATCTTGGCTCATGACTGTAAAGGTTGTTAGTTTAGCGTCCAGGAAACGGCACAGAGTGTCTCAGCTGGCTGAAGCTAACTGTTAGCATTAGCAACTCAACCACACAGCAGAAGCTCCTCCAGGCGTGTGCTATTTGTGGTGAAAACATCAACGTTACAAGTCAGGGGCAGAGTTGCGTTGCTGTTGTCTAGTCCGAGGCAAGATGTCTAAACATCAGGAAATAATCCTGCCGTGATCTGCCACTCTCTGCTCCAGCAGACTCATCCATGCTGATCCAGTCACTTGTCCCCCCCCCCCCCCCCCCAATACGATTTGCAAGGCATTCATTCCGACTAGAGACCATTGCAAATGTATTGATTAAACCAGTGTTCCATACCGTTAACATAAAATTATGATCACTCTTTTATTTTTTCTTGCTCTCAGGTTCAAGTGGATCTGGACCAAATTGACATCAAGACCGGTGTCACAAAATGGTAATGGTTGTAAAAAGAATCGCATAGCAACTTTGTTTGAGATGATCAGAACTAAATCGCATTTTTTTTTCAGGTACGATTTACAAGCAGAGAGCAACTAGATGAATCTGATCTTCAGCACTGTACAACATTGTCTTGCTTCTGTGATCTGTGAATTCTGCATTTTATTCAGCTTCAATTAAATATTTCACCTTCATTTAAGACGCAGCAAAATGTGATCATCCGTATTTATGATGAAAAAAATCTTTACATGTTGCTCCACCATCGTGACGCATTTAAATGCGCTGAATCTACTCTGTGCTGGACAGATATTTTAGCTGATTAGGTATTTGGTAATTATGCAACTGTGTTGCATGACTAACCAACGTTATATGTGTTTAAAAGCATGTAGAAGTCTTTGAACTTTAGTATAAAAAAAAGCCTTATATTTATGGATTCACAGCATCCAGCACATTGGAAAGAAAATTTGTTTTTATTTTAACAGTTTTAAAATATTCCAACATGATTTTGTTTCTATCATTGCCTTAACTATTACAACACTGTGCACAATTTACTTGTGTTTTTGAAATACGCTTCCATGTTTTCTATGTTTTTAATGCTAATTTCATGAATTCACTTCTTACAAAACTTTTGACCCTCATGTAAACCAGCAGGATGATACTGTAATTAGAGTCGAAATCACTGTGCTTTTATGGAGACATACATTTATAGAAACACATTGCTGGTGTGACAGCAAACAAATGCTTCTCGGTGTGTTGAGTGTTTGTCGTGCTGTTGCTCTCAGCAGTGTTTATATTTTTTCACGTAGAGCAGTAATGACCTACTGAGGGCCGTGCTAGTGTTCACACTGTGGAACAGAGATGTGAACAATGATCTGCAGTAATGACTGAAATGTTTTGTAGAGTGTCAAAAGTAAAGCGCAGAGTGGTTCCCACACCTTATAGCTTCCAACCTCCTAAAAGATGGAGAGACTTATAATCCCATCAGTACAACCATCGCTAATAACACACTGGCATGATGAAAACACAAACAGCCTCAACATCCATTATACTATTTATATGGATTTTTGACAACGGTTTTTATCTCTTGAAACAATTATGGGTAATATGTGCCACTAGCAGTAATTTGTATGTTTTTTAATTTCTGGAAATCATTGCAAGACTCCTACTTTGACCCCAGCTTTGGGAACCACTGCTTTGACATACTTGGAACATGTCGTTGTGTACCAGCTGAAGTTGTTTATTAAAGTTTGCACTCATGAAGCAAAGCAAATTCTTTTTTCTCTTTGTTAAAACTCAAACTATGTTCATTTACATATCAGCATTTTTATCAGCATGATAGATAGATAGATAGATAGATAGATAGATAGATAGAATGTCCAATAGAGCAAATGGAATAGATAACAGGTGGGAATTATTGTCAATTAGCAAGACATCCCCAATAAACTAGTGGTTCTGCAGGTGGTGACCACAGACCACTTCTCATTTCTTCTGATTTCTGGCTGATGTTTTGGTCACTTTTGAACGCTGGTGGTGCTTTCACTCTAGTGGTAGCATGAGATGGAGTCTACAACCCGCACAAGTGGCTCGGGTAGTGCAGTTCATCCAGGATGGCACATCTGTGAGCTGTGGTAAGGTTTGCTGTGTCTGTCAATATAGTGTCCTGAGCATGGAGGTGCTACCAGGCCAGTGCATCAGGATACGTGGAGGAGGCTGTAGGAGGGCAAAAACCCAGTAGCAGGATTGGTACCTCTGCCTTTGTGCAAGGAGGAAGAGGAGGAGCACTACCAGAGCACTGCCAGAGCCCTGCAAGATGACCTACAGTGGGCCACTCATGTGCATGTGTCTGCTCAAACGGTCAGAAACAGACTCCATGAGGGTGGTATGAGGTGCCGATGTCCAAAGAGGGGGTTGTGCTTACAGCCTAACACCATGTATGTTTGTTATTTGCCAAACAAGATTGGCAAATTCATCACTGGCATCTGGTGCACTGTGCTCTTCACATATGAAAGCAGGTTCATAACTGAGCACGTGAAAGACGTGAAAGAGTCTGGAGATGCTGTGGAGAACGTTCTGCTGCTTGCAACATAATTCAGCTTGACCGGTTTGGCAGTAGGTCAGTAATGGTGTGACGGGGCATTTCTTTGGGGGGGGCCGCATAACCCTCCATATGCTCGCCAGATGAAGCCTGACTGCCATTAGGTACCAAGATGAGATCCTCAGACCCCTTGTGAGATCATGTGCCATTGTGGTTGGCCCTGGGTTCCTCCTAATGGAAGGCAATGCTAGACCTCATGTGGCTGGAGTGTGTCAACAGTTCCTTCAAGACAAAGGTATTGGTGCTATGGCCTGCCCTTTCCCCAGACCTGAATCAGAGTGAGCACATCTGGGACATCATGTCTCGCTCCATCCACCAACGCCATGTTGCACCACAGACTGTCCAGGAATTGGCTGATGCTTTAGTCCAGGTCTGAGAGGAGATCCTGCTGTTGTCAGCACATTCCACTAAAGAACAAAATACCTGCATGCAAAGAACAAAGTATTTAATAAGAATATTCCATTCATTCAGATTTAGGATGTCTTTTGTTACCTTTATTTTTTACATTTGTCCTTAATGCCATTTTCTTTAACTTATATTACTTTTTACTTTTATACTTTTGAAACAAATGCTTCAAAAAACTTTTAATCAAGTAAAAAGCTTATTTGAACTTCTTCAAAAGTCTTTTCAACCCACAATAATTTCTACCTGAATGCTTTCGACACCGCTGATGTAAATAAAGGTCATGTTCATATTTCGCCACCAGATGGGAGAAAAGGGCCGTCAGACTTTTTTGTGTTCAAAGGCTCGGGAACTTGTAAATGATCGACACGCTATGACACCAATAGAAATATCGTAATCCCCTAAAATGGGCGGGGCCACACAATTGGCTCCGCCCTCTAAGTGGAGGCAACGGCAAACTGCTTAATCAGTATCACACAACAATAATGAATGGAAACACGGAGTAGCCAAGAAAGTTGAGGAGCTTCTGAGACTATGGGTCAGCACTTGAAATCGTTTTTTCTGGATAAAAAAAAAGACAAAGTCCATATTTTTTAAATGATGGGTTGGCCGGTGAAGTCGGATACTTCATTCTGGAAGCGAAGGCAGCTGTATTTTTGTAGAAACTTTTGATTTTCCTTCTTTTTTCTCCTCACGCGCGTGGTTAAATGGCATTTTGGGACAGCACAACGAGACTTCAGCGCTGTCAGCTTGTTTACCTGGAAACTATCTGGATTTTTCTTTGAAGAAAACTGGAATACTTTTGTTTATTATTTCCACTTGGGTCAACACCACCGAGAGAGGGTGAACCTTTATAGTTTTTTTTTCTAAATAGAACATTTGTGAGTGTATAAAATGGGGAATATAGAAAGTGTTGACGGCCATTCGGAGATGAAACACCACATCATGCCTCTGAAGGTGCCCATGCCTGACCCCACCGAGCTGGAGGAGAAATTTGCCATTGTTTTGGTAAGTCTGAATATTGCATTATCACCCAGTTATTTTCTTGTTTAAATCACTATTACTTTGAGTCCATCTGCCATTGTAAAGTAACTCAGTACTCCTGTAAAAGAAAAAAGCCTGTTTGATGTGTGTTTGTGTTTACACATCCCTGTCTTTGTGGTCCATCATGATCCTCCGACTTGCGTTGCCCCGCCCCTCTCTCTCTGCGCGCTGTCCCCTCTCTCCTGCGGTTCTTTTGTCTCCTAAAGTCAGACAACTCAGCAAAGTGGCAGCATGGTCAGAGGAAGATGAAGGGATTTTTTGCCTTTCTTTCACAAAGAAAGAAGAGTAATCCACCTATTTGAGGTCGCATCAAGACTTTGTTTTCTAGGTGAAACATCTGAAGACATTTTCTGAATTCCCCCAGAACTCCCACACCGGAAAAATCTTCTCCTCCCCTTTTCTGTCTTTTTTTCCTTTCTCCACATCAGAAAGGAGTTCAGCTACTTTTTATTATAATCAGCACACGCACTTCAGCTGCCATCATTATTATCAACACAAAGATGACACAGAGACACTTTTGTTTCGATTCAAAATTATAGAAGTGATCTCTATCATGTGTGCCTGGAAAACCTTCTGTGTTTATTACTCATTTACAGGTCAAGTGGTGAAGAGGTGGGTTCAGAAAGATAGACAGTCTGTCAGTAACTCAGTTTTAACTTAAATACATTTTATTTATAAGATTGTGTTATTCTAAGGAGCTCCAGGATGAGTTAGGCATGTCATCAGAAAATCGGAGACAGGTGAATGAAAAACACAGAAATTATTCCGGTGTAACTTGTTTGGTTCTTTTTGGCCTGTTTTGTTGTATGGATTCATTTTTGGAGAACCAGAATTTGGATGTGAAGATTTGAGCCAATTTGGGTCTGGCTCAACAAATGCAGCTAATATAGCCAATACTGGAGCACAAACACTCTGTCATCTTTATTAGGTACACCTTGGTGGGTTGGATCCCTTTTTCCCTCTAGAACTGGCTTTTTGTTTGTTTTGGACATAGATTGTAAACAGTTTTCAAAACATTCCTCAAAGATTTTCATCTTAGCTCCACATAGTTGCTGCATATTTGTCAATATCCCCAGTGTTTGTTTGTTTATTTGTTTATCCCCATTGGCTGCTGTAAAACAGCTGCTATTCTTCCTCTTTAGTATTAATTACATGTATTATACTTACACATAGCGTACACAGAAGTCTCTCTCACACACACACACACACACACACACACACACACACACACACACACACACACACACACACACACACACACACACACACACACACACACACACACACACACAACCTACATGCATTTAGAAAATTAAACTCAATATTTAAAAGCCCTAAAAATCTACCTTAATTCATACATTAACCCAGAAACACTGCTCACCTCTACACACATCTATATAATAGATGTAAACACCCAGAAATAAACATATACACATACATTTATACTTACCTAAAGTACAAAATCTACCTTTAGGTTAATAAAAATATTTGAAGCTTTTTCTGAAATTTGTTTTTGTTTTGTATCTTTTCAAATCCTAGAGTTTTATTGTATTAGAATCTAATGCAGGATATAGGTGTAGGAGACTATTTTCATGTTCAGCCTGCATGAAAAACTCAGAGTGATCGATTATAATCAAAAACAATCATTAAAAATGTTTTTTCAGTGTTTCACACCTTTAAGACATTAAAAGTGGACCAAGAAAATATCCCCCACAACATTACACTATCAACAGCATGAACTCTTGAAACGAGGGACGATGGAGCCACGTTTTCTTGTTGGTGACACCAAATTCTGACTTGACCATCTAAGTATTGCAGCTAAAATCAAGACTCATCAGACCAGGGAATGCTTTTCCAGTTTCTTGTTGTCCAGTGCCGGTGATCCTGTGTGACTTGTAGCCTGTGTTTCCTGACAGGAGCAGATGGGATCTTCTGCTGTAGTTCATCTGTCTCAAGGCTCAACCTGTTCTGCAGACCATGATCATAACAAAGGGTTATTGGAGCTGCTGCCATTTTATCTTCTCTTTTTCATTCCATCCTCATTAACTCATAGAGGTGGTTGTAGGTGCAAATCCCTGATTAGCTATTTGTGTTAGTAGTCAGTTGAGCAAGTGCACCTAATAAAGTGGCCAGTGAGTGTAAAAGTGACGTTGGTTTAACAAAATAATATCCTGGACTGTTCTGGTGAAAATCTGAGTCATTTTAGTGTGATGGGAAACCTGAAGCTCAAAGGCTTCTATTATTTATTTAAGTTGCCGTAGTTACTCATTTTGCCGTCCTGCACAGAAAGAGCAGAGAGAGAAAGGTGTGATTTTACTGTGGTTTGTGTTTTTAACCAGTGCGACACACTCATTCCTTCTAGACTTGTCATTGTGAGGTTGCTATTGGCAACGGTGCAAGATGTTCTTCTCCAAACACTGACCAGAGTGACATCCGTCTTTTTGGATTATCAGTTTGAAGATTAATAACACCTGACCTGAAACTTTGGGTTCTGATTGAACTTCAAAAATATTAATGTATACCTTCTAAATAAACATTAACATAACAGTAACTTGAACCCCAATAGCGTCTTTTTTGAAGGATGAGAAGCCACAATGGACTGAAAACATTTCCTCAAAATAAAAAGAAAATATTAGGTTTCAGGTTTGAAACTTTGTTTGAGAATAAAATAGAACAAACAGTGAGGAAATTCACTTGTTACAGCAGCACCAACATTTAAGAAAATAATTAGAAGAAAAATAATAACAAAGGTACATGTGTGTACACATAGGCAGTATGCTATTATTGTAACCTTTGACTACTAAAAACCACAAATTAAAATAAAATGTGGTTTATAGAACTATGCAGCACACTGTAAGGGACACAGACATACTATGTAAATCTGGTATTGCACAAGTATTGAACACATACTGAGTATCACATTGATGTTATTGTGCACCTGGATAATGCCAGTACCAGTTAAACTGAGGAGTTATACACTCTTACTGCAGAGGGGATGAATGACCAATGGTAACGTTCTGTTTTACATCTGGGATGTCTCAGTCTGCCTCTGAAGGATCTGTTCATGGTCTCCACAGTGGAACGCAGTGGGTGGAAGTTTTTTTTTTAAGATGGAGCTCATCTTCTCCAGCATCTTCTTTTCACGCATCTCCTCAACTGAATCTAATTGGCAGCCCAGAACCGAGCTAGCTTTCTTAACTATCTCAGTCAGTGCTGCCTGCACCCCAACAGACCACAGCAGAGTGAATAACAGAGTCAACAACAGAGTGATAAAAGGATTTTAGCAGCTGAGAATTAACTCCAAAGGATTTCAGCCTCCTCAGGAGGTGGAGGTGGCTTTGGGCCTTCTTATACAGAGCATCTGTGTTGTTGGACTAGCTCAGTTTGCTTTTGAGGTGAACACCCAGGTACTTAAAGGTATCCACCACAGTGTTCTCCCTGGATGTTTACTTAGTGAGGAGGAGTGTTTCTCTGGAAGTCAATCACCATTTCCTTTGTCTTACTGGTGTTTAAGCAAAGGTGGTTACACTCACACCAGTGCACATAAGTCCACAGTGACTGACCTGTACTCCAGGTCATTCCCCCAGACACACAGTCGACAATGGCCGAGTAATAATCATGATGCATGGTGGCACAGTTTTTAGCACTGTTGCCTTGCAGGTTCAAAACCCAGCTGCAGCCTTTCTGCACGGAGGTGCATGTTCTCCCCATGCATGAGTGGGTTTCCTTTGGGTACTCCGGTTCCCAAACAGTCACAACGTGCCCTATAGCTAAACAATTGCACGTTGCTTTAGTTAAAAGCGTCTGCCCAAATTAATAAACATAAATATAAACACAAAAACGGGAGGTGACTGCTGCTGGTGTTGCAGGAGAAGTCTGAATGGTAGAAGGTAAAGAGAAAGGGTGAGAGCCTGTACCCTGCACAGAACCACCTCAGATGTACAGTTGTGTAGCCTCACGTACTGTGGCCTGTTGGTGAGGTAGTTGATGACTGCAGTCAGATGCATGTCTGCACCTCTCATCTTCTGCTGCAGTAGACAACAAAAACATACAGACGCTTTGTTCTCCATGTGAGAAGTTCAGAGTCTCCTTCAACTTACAACATTCAAACACTTTATGATGTTTATCAGCCAAACCACGCCTCGATTTAGACTTTTACTGGAGCCTGACTGAACCTGAAGCAGCTGGGATGAGAATCAGCTCCTCTAAATCCAAGATCGTGGTCCTGAATCGGAAAAGGGTAGAATGCCTTCTCTGTGTCGGGGTGAGGTCCTGCGTCAAGTGGAGGAGGAGTTTAAATATCTTGGGGTCTTGTTCATGATGAGGAAAAGATGGAGCTTGGGATCGATAGTCGGATTGGTGCTGCATCTGCAGTGATGTGGGTGTTGCACGGATCTGCCGTGATGAAGAGAGAGCTGAGCCGAGAGGCAAAGCTATGAATTTGCCGGTCGATCTACGTTTCAACCCTCACCTAAGGTCACGAGCTTTGAGTAGTGACCGAAAGAATGACATGACAGATACAAGCAGCTGAATTGAGTTTTCTCCGCAGGGTTTCTGGGCTTTCGCTTAGAGATAGGGTGAGACACGATCTTCTGGGAGGGGCTTGGAGTAAATCCGCTGCTCCTCCACATTGAGAGGAGCCAGCTATGGTGGCTCTGGCATCTGGTCAGGATGCTTCCTTGACGCCTCCTTGGTGAGGTTTTCCGGGCACATCCAACCGGGAGAAGACCTAAAGGAAGATCCAGAATACACTGTAGGGACTAAGCCTCACAGTTGGCAGGGAACGCCTTGGCGTTTCCCTGGAGGAGCTGGCCCAAGTGGCTGGTGAGAGGGAAGTCTCGGCCTCTAGGATACTGTCCCCGCGACCTGACCCCCCGAGTAAGCGGATGGAAATGGATGGATGGATGGAGAACCGTAGGCTTTAAAGTTAGTTAAATATTGTCAACATTAAACACTTCTGAGTC